TCTCTCTCTCTCTCTCTCTCTCTCTCTCTCTCTCTCTCTCTCTCCCTTCCCCCTCCCTCCTCTTTCTCCTTAATCCCAAGGTTTTACAGGATGAGCATTAAGGAAATTCGCCTCCAATTTGGGATTAGATAAATACTCTCATGGCGCAGGGGGGTCGGATCCTGGCCACTAGATACCTCTCACTTCCCTGAGAATGAAGGGGGACAGCATCAGGAACCCACAGCGACTGGCTCCCGCGCGGTGGGCCTTGGGGACCTCACGGGAACATTCCTATACGTACAGCCGACCCACTTCGTCAAGCCTGACCCAGGCGAGGTTCTAAGACTGCCAACGAACCCGCCCTGAAGAGGCCAGAGAAGCAGTTTTCTAGCCAGGATGTACGCCCTGGGCCCCAGAGGGCCAACCCAGGCTCACAGCCCGGAGACCAGGACAGGGATGCCTTCAGTGCACTCCCCAGGACGTCAACGTTTTCATGCCCGCCAAACTAGTGCACCCTAGCCTGCGCCTTTCCCCGGAACAGGGGGCAGGAGTGTATTTCGTTTCTTTCTTTAAACTCAAGAATGGTCCCTGTGGCTGAGCCTGGCCGTCCGTCTGCCTTGGGGTCTACTCCTGGTAGGGACCTGAGCGCCTAGGTGTGTGCTCACTCCGCCCAGCGCTGTGCTCTGCGCTGCTTCTTTTCTGCCTTCAGGTTTATCTCTCTCCCTCTCATTTCCCCCCTTTCCCCGCGATCTTTTATTCTGCTTTCTCTTTCTCTCGCTTTTGTGAATGGGCCGCGGTGTCTTTGTTCTGGAGAGAAGCGCCCGTGTCGCTGACTTTTGTGAACCAGAGAAGGATCTTGTAAAATCTCCTTTTCTCCTCCGTAGTCCCCCTCTCACACCCCTCCTTCCCTGCCCCTTTGATTAGATGTTCCCTCATCGTTCAAAAAAAAAATGTAATTTCGTTAGTCTGGCGGCCACTTTCTTTGAACATTAGCTCGCTTTCAGCTCCAACTTCAATTAGAAGGAGTTGATTTTGAGAGACCAACAAAAGAACCGACCAAAGCCTTATTAAAGGTCCTAAGAAGATCTCTCGGTCCTTTGAGAAGCAGTTAAGGAAACAGTGTGCCCTCCGTCATATTCTGTTACCGTATTTTATTCGGACTCCAAAGAAAAGTGTTGCGTGGGGGAGGGGAGAAGCACTTTGATGAGCGGCAGTCGTGGCCCCTTTTCACTCAGCCGGCTCCCCCCTTCCTTCTGGTCCCCCCGCGCCCGGTCAGCGACCGAAGCGGACCGCGCGGCCTGGGCATCGCGGTGCTCCGCTCTACCTGGCTCTCCGCGGCTGCCGAACTCACCCACGCACAGACTGTAGTTCAAACTTTTCACCCGCCTGTTGGGGTGAGAATGGGAGAAGATGAGGAGAAAGGACTAGCAAAAGTTGTAAATGTGATCCCTAGTATTCAGTAGGAGTTGCCGTGTTAAAAAAAAAAAAAAAAGCCTTGTTCGGGGTCGGGCCGAAAATACTCTTTCCTCTCGCTTTGGAAAGTACACACAGGTAGACGATCTCAGCAAGTTTATTTGGCTGGAAACTAGGGTCTGTCAGTACGAACAATCCGGGGAAATTGTTTCGAGGAGGCTCCTCCAGTAAGGTGTAGAAAATGAAGGGAGGGGGGTTGGAGTGTGTAGCCACATTTTCCACCAGACTGTCCCTTGTAGGTGGAAACGTGAAGACTGATAGAGTGTGAAAAAGAAAGTTTTCCATCAAACCCATACGAGTGTGTGTGTGTGTGTGTGTGTGTGTGTGTGTGTGTGTGTGTGTAGATCTGAGATCCAAGGGTTCCGAAGAAGCTTTTAGGACTTGCGAACACCTTTGGTGGAGACTGCCCGGGAGCCCCTGGAGACCCTGAGCAGCTGGGAAGTGGCGGCGCCTCCCCTGCCCGTGCTCTTTCTGGGCGCGAGAGTCCCGGGGCGCCGCGGGGCGCCCTGCCCGCCAAGAGTTGCACCCCCACCCCCGGCTCCGCTCAGCAGCCCGCGCCTGCACGAGCCGCCCGCGGCGGCCGCCGATTGTAGGGAGCGGAGGAGGAGGCGCCGGGGCCCAGGGCGCTGCGAGGAGTGCCAGGGGCCAGCACGCCCCGAGTCCACCGCCCGGGGAAGCCTGGAGCCCAAAGCGCGGCGGAGCCCGGCGGCGCGCGCGCGCGAGTAGGAACCGGTTATCCAGCAGCTTGACGCCACTCCTCCGGAGCGCGGCCCGGGCGAGGGGAGGGCGGGGGCCCCGGGCGAGCCTTGGGACCCGGGGCCCCCTCTGCGCCTGCGACTCCAGCACTGCCTTCACCCTCCTCGACTCGTTCTGAACGGAATTTGCCACCCGAACCCCAGAGTTAGCGCGCGACCGGGGCGGGGCCGGCGCGCGGGGAGGGAGGGGGTGGGGGCGAGGGAGGGCGGGGGCGCGCGGAGGTAACCCCGGCTCGCGCTGCCATTGCCCGGCTCCCTGTCACTCAGTCCGCTCTAGGCCCCCTATTGGCGGCCGAGCCCCGTTACGCACTCGCCTCGCGTTCACATACCCGGGGAGGGCAGTAGAAAGGTGATCAATCTTCATCAGGCTACATTTCCAATCACCTAAACAACCGAGCAAGACAAGCCACTCCGACAAGGTAAATTGCTTGATTTATTTAGTTTGCCAAGTGACTATGCAGGATTTCTCCAGTCCCTACCGCCTCCGGCTTGCACCGAGAGTGCAGCTGCCACCGCAAGCCACCTCCTAACTCTGTCCCTCGAACACCCCCCCCCCCCCCCCCCCCCCCCCCCGGGTCCCGGGGGGGGTGAGGGCGTGGGAGGAAAAGCCTGTGGGACTCTGCAAACAAAGTGTTTGTGCAATAAAGTGAAACCTGGAGGGACACGCACAGAGCTCCTGGAAAAATGCAGGAGACGGGAAGAGGGAAGTTGGAGAAAACGGAAAGGCTGGGGTCCTAGCCCCGCCACCGGGGTAATACCTGTGCGCCTCCGTTTTACAGGTTGGCTGCCGGCGGGTCTCGGCGAGGGCGCGAGGTAGATGGTGAAGAGCCGCGGCAGCGGAGGGCAGGTAAGGAGGGAGTCGCCGGGCCGCGCGCCACCCCGGGACGGTGGTGGCCCCTCTCGCCTCCCCCTCCTCGAATCGACCCCCGCTACCTAGATCCCGGGCAGGTGGGCGGGGCTGGGGTGAGAGGCCGAGCGCCCCTTGGCTCCCGCGGGACCCCAGGCCGCTCGGAAGCCGGCCGCCCCCTCCCCCGCCTCTTCCGAAGCTGCGGAACTGGGGTGCTAAGTTAGAGGAAAGTACTCGAAAAACTCTCGCCGCAACCCGGCAGAGCCGGGGTGGCTGCTGGCCTGTGGTCCTTCCGCCCACGCGCCATGGGTCGTTCCCCTCCTCCTTGTGTGCTCGCTGGCCCCCCTCAGTCCAGGCTACGGGTCCCCCAGGACTGAAGCGGGGTAAGGAGTTGGGATGTGGAAGCTGCTTTAGTCCTATCTCCCTTTCTTCCCGGAATCTCCTATCCTTGGTTCTTGGCAGAGTGGGGTGTAAGTACAGGCCCCCCGCCGGTCCCAGTCGTACCCCTAGAACCCCTTCTTTTGCTGGATAAGGGCTGCGTGGGCTCGCAATGTCTGCGGCGAGCCTTGTGCTCCCAGGTCGGCTGTGCCTGAGCTTTACAACCTGAGGCCTAGTTCCTTGCTCTCCATCGGGTTCAGAGAGGACGGCCGGAGCGACCTGGCACGCTCGGCCTTCAGAAATCTAGTATGTTTGGGGCGCTGGGTTGGCCATCCTTTATCAAACCCTGGTGGGACGTGGTGTGCTCAGTCAGCAGACTTGGTCAAAAGAAGGCCCGGCCTGCGAGGGCAAAGGAAGAGGGGTGACCATCTCGGAGGTACCCCTGACCTTGGGCGGCGTCCTGACACTGCCACTTGTACTGTGGTGCCTTTGGAGTCTTTTTGCCGCCTTAGCCTGATCTGGGCCGCATCTGCCCTGGAGGTGCGGTGGGATTCCTGTCCAGCCATCTCTTAGCGTCAGGGGCCCAAAGAGGTCAACTAGAAAGGTGATTGCAAGCTCTGGGGTAGGAGGCAGCCCTGGAGATCTCTCAAGAAATGACGTGGCCAATGAGCATCGGAGATCCAAGGTGTACCCACCTTTGGGCCTCTGTATTGTTTGCCATTTTGTTCCTTTTTCAAAAACATTTCAAACTAAACGAAATAACCCTGTTTCTCTGTGCGGCCTGCCCTCCCGGCGCCAAATGAACATTTGCTTGAGCAAATTGCTTCCGCCGCACTAAAAAAAAATTGACTACACTTGGGATTTTGCACCCTCCGCGGTCCCGGCTCTCACCTCCTCAGCCTGATCACGCTTTAACTTTTCCTTCCTGTTGACACTCGAGGAGTGTCTTTGGCCCTTGTCAAGCCCTAAAAGAGGAAGGAACGATGTGGGAAAAGTTTACTTTCCTGAGAAGCTGGGTGGCTGCTGAGCTAAAGGAGGAGACATTTCTCGGGTTGCCTGCTGTGCCTAGCATGCGCCCCCCCCCTCCCCATTCAAGGATTATAGGAGCTGAAAGCCAAACTGACTACGGGTGAAGGTTTCCATGTGTCTCCTGTCTCCCTAGGCCAGGCCCCCAGAAGAAACAGCTTGAAGGACTTCGAAGTGGGAGCCCTGAACTGCTCCTGGCCTCAGGCCCCCTGGATCCGTCGGGGCGCCTCCACCCGGCGGTTAGCATGATGTCTTACCTCAAACAACCCCCATACGGCATGAACGGGTTAGGCCTAGCTGGCCCTGCCATGGACCTCCTGCATCCCTCCGTGGGCTATCCTGGTGAGCAGTGGCCCTCTGCCCCTACCCCCAAGCCTCTGTAAATATTGGGGGATTCCATCCTCTAAAGTTTGAGCCCACACTGTCCCCAAACAGACCCAGAAAGGTGATTAGCTCGCCGCCTGTTGCCTAGATCTGGAGTCGAAGTTTGCTCAGGCAGTTTAGAAACTGCAGCCTACAACTGTTGAGCTTGTGGTGCCTGAAACCTGGCTCCCCGTCGAGTCCCACTTGCTAGGGAGGGCATGTTTATCCCCACCCCCGATTTCTTTCCCTCGGTTGCTTTTTTAAAAAATAAAACCCTTCCCTGTGTCAACATTTCATGAGGAATCTGGACACTCGCTAGTGCCTAACGTAGCCAATTTTTTCTTATGTCTAGCTTCCCTGAGAAGCAGTTCTTTCTCCCTAGTTAGAGAGCCCTCAAGATCAGTGACTTGACCCAACTCCCATGGCGTGATGGGGGACTCCAGCTGAGCCCTGGGTTTCTTTTCTAGATCCTAAGTATTTACTTGAGTTTATTCTCTTGGAAAGTGAGCCCTGGTTCTGTTTCTGCCCACCTCTGTTATACTTCCTGCCTCTCAGCTTGGAAGTGTGTGGGTTTGGGGAGATGAGAAGGAAAGGGTGACTTTGTTTTTAACAGCTTGAGAGGTACGGAGGGTGAAGGCCCTAAGGTTCGAGACTGGGGCCTTTAGTAGAATACGTAAGCTTTGTCCCACCTGTGGCCAGGGAAGTTTCGTTTCCTCGGAGTTCGGCCTATTCTTTCTATAGCGCGGGTCCTGAACCTACCAGAGGACCTACATGTGGCCTCTAGAGCCAGTCCTCATGGTCCACCTCTGACTCCAGGCGCTCTCGCATGTCCCCGCAGCCACCCCGCGGAAGCAGCGACGGGAGCGCACCACCTTCACGCGCTCACAGCTGGACGTGCTTGAGGCGCTGTTCGCAAAGACTCGCTACCCAGACATCTTCATGCGCGAGGAGGTGGCGCTCAAGATCAACCTGCCAGAGTCCAGAGTCCAGGTGCGCGCTCCTGGGGCTCTAGGGTTAGGGTAGGGACGCTGGAACTGGTCGGGAAAGATCTGGCCTAGGCGGTCTGATGTTGGGGCCCACTCACTGACTGCACAGCCCCTCTCCAACTCCCCCTAGCGCTGGGCGTCAGTCTGGTAGAAGGGGTAACATTAAAAGGAATGGCTTAGAGCCCAGTATCTATTCCTTGTCACTTGTGCGCTTTCAATATTGAAAGTCGTTTTGGTTTTTTTGGTTTGGGGGAGGCCAGCAATGTTCCCTGGATGTAACTTTCTCTGAAGGTTCGACAATGGTCCTGCTTCTTTGGCTACTACAGAACTGAGGCCTTAGCTCTGCTTCTGCCTTTGTCTTTCGCACCCTTGTCCTTGGTCCCGGGGATTCTAAAAGTGCAAGATGGAACTTGGCCACAATCTAGTGCTCTCTGCCTGGGACTGTGCTCCGCAGTTGGAGTCCGTCTGGTTAGGAGTTTTCTGCAGCCGAGTGGACGCCGCCGAGAGCAAAATCCAGATGCTGACTTTACTATTTCTGAGATGAAACGTTGCGAAAAATCGAGTTCTGATTAGTTTAATTCTTTCTCGACGATCTTTTGTCTCACCTTCTTTCCCGAAAGCTCGAGAAGGGCCTGGGAATGCAATGCCCTGTGCCCAGGCTCTCTCCAAAGGGGTGCGAGTTTATGACTTGCCATTCCATTTGGTATCCCACCTGGAGCCAAAAGGCCCAAGGAAATCTCACCCAAGCTTCCTTCTCGAAAAGCCCCACTACTAGAGCGCTGCTTCCGCTCAGCCTCTAGCTTTGCTTCTGTTCCCACCCAAATATTTGCCCTGCCCAACTCCAGTCTCCAGGAGCCGACTCGGTGAAACCCCTCGGGCCCCAGGCTTGGTGGCTGCCCTACACTCCGATGTTCTGTACCTTTCCGCTGTTTCCTGAGCTCTTTTCAAGGAAAACAGGGCCTCCAAACTAAAACGGGGCTGCGGGGAAGCAGCCAACCGCAACAGCTTAGAGATGGCTGAACTTCTGGCTGGACAGACACAAACGTTCCGCCCTCGGGCAGAGTTGCGCTGGGCTTGGGGAGGTGCGCATCCGTCCAGTGGAGGAGGCTGACTTGGGGGCTTTGCACAGAAGGATGGGGGAGGGAGCCAGCGCTGGGGACCTAGCACGTGCGGGGGAGGGGACAAGGTCTGGCAGGGCCGGGGACTGGGAGGGGTAGAGGCTGGGATTGAGAGGTTCCCGAGATCCTGGGCGGGGTGTGAGTCCGAGGGGCGGAGGAGTAGTGAGCTCCACCAGCCAGCCCCCTGATCCCCTCTCCTTCACCCTGCTTACTGCAGGTTTGGTTCAAGAACCGCCGCGCCAAGTGCCGCCAGCAGCAGCAGAGCGGGAATGGAACGAAAAGCCGGCCGGTCAAGAAGAAGTCATCGCCAGTGCGCGAGAGCTCGGGTTCCGAGAGCAGCGGCCAGTTCACGCCGCCCGCCGTATCTAGCTCGGCTTCTTCATCTAGCTCAGCGTCCAGTGCCTCCGCCAACCCGGCGGCTGCTGCGGCCGCGGGCCTGGGTGGGAACCCGGTGGCAGCCGCGTCCTCTCTGAGCACGCCTACTGCTTCGTCCATCTGGAGCCCGGCCTCCATCTCGCCGGGCTCAGCGCCGGCATCCGTGTCAGTGCCAGAGCCACTGGGCGCTCCGAGCAACGCCTCGTGCATGCAGCGCTCGGTAGCCGCAGGTGCGGCCACTGCCGCGGCCTCCTACCCTATGTCCTATGGCCAGGGCGGAAGCTATGGCCAGGGCTACCCCGCGCCCTCCTCTTCTTACTTTGGCGGTGTAGACTGCAGCTCCTACCTAACGCCCATGCACTCTCATCACCACCCGCACCAGCTTAGCCCCATGGCACCCTCTTCCATGGCTGGCCATCACCACCACCACCCGCACGCGCACCACCCACTGAGCCAGTCTTCAGGCCACCACCACCACCATCATCACCACCACCACCACCAAGGTTATGGAGGCTCTGGGCTCGCCTTCAACTCTGCCGACTGCTTGGATTACAAGGAGCCCGCCGCTGCTGCTGCTTCCTCTGCCTGGAAACTCAACTTCAACTCTCCCGACTGTCTGGACTATAAAGACCAAGCCTCGTGGCGGTTCCAGGTCTTGTGAGCCCAGGAGGGAAAGGAAGTGGAGAAGAAACGCAACTACCTGCGCCCTCCGTGGTCTCCATCCTGTTGCTGTTGCTGCTGCTGCTGCACCGCCCGCCTTTGCCTTGGCTTTTCCAAAACTTAATTTTCACTCCCCCAAAAGATGTTCATTGCCTGCACTGCCGCTCCCGTCTGTGTGCCACTTGCTTGGGGGTGGAGGGTGCAGACCTTTCTCCCCCTTGGAGGTGGGGCCCGGTGCTCCTTCCTACTTGGCCCTCAGTTTCTTCATGGGATAGCAGTAAGCTCTCCCTCTCAACTCGTGCATCACCCCAAGTCTTTCTGGACAGCTTTTGTGCACCTGGAGCCTTCTGAGGCTCTTCGCTCTGACCCTCTCAGTTTTGAGCTCAACAGTTTTATTTATTCTTTCTGGACACTGAAGTCACTAACTGGCGTATATCTACCGTTTGGAGTGCGTCCATACACACTCCTCCAAATAAAACCCACCACTCTTAGCAGACTGTTGCCTCCTCAGCTGCCCTTGATCCAGCTCCCCATCTGCAGGCCCGAGCTTCCAGCATTTCCGTCTCCCCAGTGGTGAGCGCTGGGCCAGGCTTGCGGGAGGAGTGTGTCCCAGCCTCCTTCCCTGCCTTGCGCTGGACTGATTCAAGCTTCCGCCTCAGCGGGAATGCTGTACATAGTCAGGTCCGTTCCAGGGACCACTTAAAGTTTTTAGTTACTGTTGGTTGCATCTCTCTTGTTTTGGCGTCCAAGAAACAGAACTTTAAAATATATTCATCACATATATATATACACACACACACATATATATATATATAAAACAGAAGCAAAAAAATATTTCCCCTTTGTTCCCGTTCCTCTCTTTCTCAAATGATGGCGGTTCTTATTTTTCAGTTGTTACAAAGCTGTCCTGCCCTCTTCACACCTCCCTTTGTGTATTTATTAAAGAAACCCGCTTGGTTCCAGGAAGCTGGGCTGGTTCCAGGAAGCTGGGCGCTGGAGGATCGGAAGTGAAGGAAACAGCTAAGTCAGGGTACAGGGATCGGGGCTAGGCTGGGCAGGGCGCAGGCCTGACCCTTAACCAGTCTAAGCACAATATCAAAGCTTCCGCTTAGAAACAAACAAAAAGGTGAAACTACAACATTGTGGAAAGCAAACCGAGCCCGAGTTCCAGGTCCAGGTCCAATTTCTCCTCTCTCTCTCTCTCTCTCTCTCTCTCTCTCTCTCTCTCTCTCTCTCCTGTCTGTTCAGTGAGTTTTTAGTGAACCTTCATTCTCCGAAATCTGCGGAGAGTGCCTGTGTATCTATCGGTTTTGGTTTTGGCCGTTTGGTCCAGTAGGTGGGAAAGTAATTTGTAAATTTGATTTGTCCGATGTGAAGATCGCAAATTACTTGTTGAGATGTAAGGCAGTCCGTCTCCTCTTCCTCTTTATCTACATTATTTCCCGAAAATAAAAACAAATTAATGAATGGCTTGTCAGCGTTGCTCTTCTAATTCCAGCTTCGGGTCTCGGTCTCAGGGGATTAAAAGGGAGGAAATCTGTGTTAATAACCCGCGTGTTAATGACCTGCGCGAAGCTGGAGGCTGAAGAATAAGGCGCGAAGTCATGGCAAGGAGAGTCCCCCAAAACGCTCTTTCAGGGAGTGCCCCCCTCATGGCCCGTACGCTCTCTCTCTTCAATGTTTTGACCCCGCGCCTTCTTGCCATCTAGGACAGAGACAGGTGTCAGGACTCAATTCCAGAAACAGCTCCTTTCTCTTCGGAGGCAGGAGCCTGGCACTGATTTCTTCACCCTAATTGCCAGCACCAGAAAGGAGAGAGGGAGAAGGGGGAGGGGAAGAGGGTCGGGAAGCGGGAAAGCATGCCGCTGTAATGCTGTCTGAGCTGATCCAAGAAGGAAAACAAAATGATAAAGATTAAAAAAAAAATCTGTGTCCTGAAGTGGAGAAGCTTCCCCCGGTGGCTTCAGGGTGACTGTAGGATCCTAATTCCAACCACGTGCTAAGGAGTCGTTCTAAACCTTTAGTTCGCACCAGAAATGGTCCATTTATTTATCTTTTGTAAAGTTACATTAAAACATACAAACAAAACCTGACCAGTGCGAGTTTCACTTCCTCAGAGGAGGAAGATGCCCGGCCTGCAGCCATGAGTGCAGAGGACAGCTCCCCTTCCGTCTAGGCGGGTACGGAAGGCCTTGTAGGTGCTACCCTTTTCAACTCGGCCTCTGGGACGGGACTTGGGAGACTAAACTGTAGGGAAAGTGTAGTAATAACGTCCGCTGTCCGAGGAAATTCGGGGCTCAGAACTGTCCAGACTGTTCTGACAGCTCCTGTGCGAGGTGTGTGTGAGTGTACGGTCCAGAAGCCGCGCCGTGCCCACGGCCGGGAGGAAATAAGGAGACAACGAAAACTTGCCCGCCGAGTCAGCGGCAGCCCCTGCTTCTAGTCCGTGAGATTAGTGGGGGGCCAGGGGTCGCGCCCACGAGGCGGCGAGGCCTTGGAGCCTTGGCCGTGGGGAGACTGTCCCCTCCACCTAGAGTTCGGCGGCCCGGCTCCGGCCCAGGCTTTCCAGCTGAGTCCCCGGGACGGAGGGAGAGCCACCCGGGCGCGCGGGACCCCTCCAGGGCCGGCTGCCACCGCGAAGGCCGCTCTGGGCCTGCTCCCTGCCTCGTGCGCCCTGGCCCCTGGCCCGTGGGCCCCGCGCGTTCGCGGGAAGCGGGGCTGGAGGCTGGGACAGAGGCCTCAGGAGGCCGCTCCGGCCGCCCCACAGGTCCCGCCCCAGGCGGCCCGGGGCGGGGCAGTCGCCGCTTCCACAGGGTCCGGAGGCCCTGAGGCATTGAAGCGGGAGGCTGGGCCGAGCCGCGGCTCGGACGGACCCCGCAGGCCTCGGGTCCGTTGCGGTTGTCAGTCTGCCGGGCTGACCCGGGCGGTTCGCGAACTTTCCTCGTAGGGCCGGCCGGTGTGGGTCGGGCGTCGGTGGCGCCGAAGGCCTCCGCTGCCCGCGCTCAGACGCGACGTCGAGCACGCCTGCAGCACGAGGCTTCGAGGAGGAGCGGGCACGTGCTTCCCCCTGGGCCTGGGGCAGGACCCGCGGGGGAGGGCGGCCGAGGTGGCCCCGGGGCGCAGGGCCGAGGGCGCGCGCCGGGGCGCAGGCTCGGGCCCCGGGAACGCGCGCGGGCCCTGCGGGTCAGCGGGCCTCAGCCACTCCCGTGGGGTTTGGGGGAGTTGGGAAGCGTCCTTGGGTCACCCCTCTCTGAAAGCCCAAAGCACTTCAGAGGCTGGAACCTTCAGACGCCAGCTACAACTAAGCGGCCTCTGGAGCCCGAACTCTGGAGCACTGAGCAGCAAGGACAGGTCCGTCCTGGGAGCTCAACGAAATCTCCACGCGTCCCGAGCGCAGCCGGTGTCCGTCCGCTCGCCCGGGAGGGCCGAAAGGCCTGCCCTCGGCGGACCCGGGTGAGGGGCCTGGGGGTGACAGCTGGGCCGCCTCAGCCGTGTTCTGGGTCTCCTGAAGCTCTGAGGAGAGTCCGGAGAATAAGACGTTTGTTGGGGCTCTTGTCTGGCTTTGATACTGGCTGCAGAGGGTTGGAAAAGAAGGCAATAATTCTAAATTGTGAATGTGTGTGCAAGTCAGTCTTTCTTCATCTTTTTCTTCCTTTCTACCTTTTTTCTTTCTTTTTGAGAAAAGCCTTAAAGGACTGGGGCGGGGGTCTGAGAATAGAACAGGTGAAAAAACCTTAACGGAGTGTCAGCAGATTCACACCTGCTGTAGTCCAGAGACCAAAACTGAACCAAACCAAAACACCAAATTTTTGTTTTAAAAGAAAACTACTACCACCACCACCACCACCACACTATGTAACTTATGGAAAATAGCACTCTCCATGGCTATTGTGATTTTTTTAATTTAAAAAATAAGAGATAAATTCATTACTAACTAGAAGAATTAATTATACTGTTAATGATATCAAAGATGTCTGATGGCAAGGTTGTGTTTAAAGGTGAAGAAATGAAATGTATCTGACATACAACTGTAGCCAATATTTACATTATTGGTAAAGAGAATGTGCATGATTACTATTCATGACCAGAAAATTACTTGGCTTTTGATGTAGAATTAATTTAAGAATAGCAATAAGATATTTTTATAAAGTTCACTAATTAGCGGGGGTTTGGTGACATAAGCCTGTAATCCCAGCTCTCAAGAGCAGGACACAGGAGGATCAGGAGTTCAGGGCCAACCTCACCTACACAGTAAGTCAAAAACCTGCCTGGGCTACAGGAGGAGACTCTTATCTCAAAAAGCAAAACCAAACAACTCCTCGTCTCCACATGATCCCCCAAAAAGAAAGGAAAAACCTAAAAACAGAAAAGTTACATGCGATTTTGTTTCCACACTTTGTCTTCCTTCCTTCATAAATTTCAGAATCTCATGAAAATGAAATCTCAAGATCAACAATAATGAAAATCAATAGCTTAAATAATATTGCATAGAAATGAATGTCTTATTTGACAACAGGAAGTTACCTCAGTTATCTTAAAGAAATAAGATGTTTAGGTAAGTGTTGGGGGCGGGGTATCTAAGTTATACTTTTTGAAAACCAGAAGTTCCCTGCCTGTTTTTAATATGTGATTCTCCAGAAAGCAAATGTACTTTTTTATTATTATGCTTATGCGTATTGGTATCTGAAAAGAAACACACTGTGTGTGTGTGTGTGTGTGTGTGTGTGTGTGTGTGTGTGTAGAGGCACATTTCATTTTGAGTCAATGTTTTTCTTTAGTTGTGTTTTAAAACTGAGTTGCATTTTACTTAAAGCACATTCTAGACAGTTCTTCAGAAGCATTAAGGAGAAGAACACTTTCCCAAAGTTCTTCAACCATTTTAGTGCGATGGCAGTCAAACAGGATAGCCCAAATTGCTTTTAAGTACATCTACATTTGTTTATTGGAGAGAGAGAGAGAGAAAAAAGGTGTATGTTGTCCTCAGCTGAGCTGAGCGCTGCTGTAATACACAAAGCTGCACACCCATATCTCTAGATTCTTGCTTGAGAGATGGAACTTCCTGAACATTGTTAGAGTTGTTTCAAGAAGCCTTAGAGTTCAAATAGGATTTGGGCTCTGTTTAATCAATGGTAAAGCTTCATCATAGAAACACTGAGAATCTATTGCTTCTAAAGAATTGTACCTCTTTTTGATGGCCAGTATTCGGAGACAAAATTGCATTACATTTCCAGGTCACAAATGCCTTTTTAAAAAGGTTAATCTTTATTGAGCTGCTTATAAAAACTATTTGGAATTTTTAGAAATTCGTTTAAAGTAGATTGTAAAATTATGATTTAAGGAATTTGAGTCCAAATTTTGGAGGGATTGAAGTGGAATATAAATAAATCATAACTAATTTTGATACTTGGGGGTAAAAACTAAATGTAAGAGTAAACGGTCTCCGATTCAACAGCATAGTGTCTAAAGAGCTTATAAAATATTTTTAGTGTACAAATATTCTTATGTATGTTTAAAGCTCTGAATGCTTCTAAGATACACCATCATCTGTCACAGCTATTTCAAATAGGGATCGTATTTTCTTTTTAAAATTTATTTTAATTTTTTTCCTGTGAAATATACATATGAAAGAAATTATAAAACAGATTTTTACACTTTAAAAAATAATGAAATATACATGCTGTTACAAGTTTTTAACAAATGCTTTGAAAAGTAGACTTACAGTTGGTTACAATGTCAGTATTTAAACTTGATGTTAAATAAAATAATCTATGTTTTAGGTATTTTGTTAAATCCATCAGTAACTGGCTATCTTTTAAGAGAGGAATACTTTAAGGAGATATTAAAATTATATAGGCCCTTATAAATTCATAGACTCTCTCGATGGTGCTTTGTCTGGTTATGTTCCTAATGAGAAGGCACCAAGAGAAGACACTGTTTACCCAGAGTTTCTATTTGATGCCATTCAAGCGATGGCTTTGGAGCCTGGCTTTAGTGCTGTCGTCTCCATGTTTCAAACCTGGCCCATTCTTTTTGATTGTATTTATTTTATCTTCCAGAGAGACCACTGGACTTTAGAACTTAGTATGTTAATGCTGTACTTTCTCCTTCCTCCAACTCCACATCAAGGATTTTGCTTTAAAACTGTTGGGGAAGAGAGGGAGATGGAGAATGGGCTTGGTGGTAAAAGCCTGTAATCGAAGTACTTGAGAAACTGGAGCAGGATTGCTGTGAGGTTGAGGCCAGCCTGGGCTACATAGCAAGCTGCTGCATCTGAGTTGGGGGTTGGGGGTGGTTGAGGACATGTGGACAGGATCTGCATTAAGTCTCAGCTGGTTAAGACTGAGAGAGCATTCATGTGGTTCTTTTTAGTTTTGTATATCTCCGGTTGGGCTGGGAGGGTAGCTCAGTGGTAAAATCTATAAATCCCCCAGTTCATCCTCAGTACTGGGGGAAAGGAGTATTAAGAAGCTTTTATTT